GCATCCTAACTGAATAAAAGTATTTATTTTTTTTAAATCCCAAATTTCTGGATGGTACACATTTTCCACAAAAATAAGAAAATCATAAAAGCATCAAATCCTCATATTAGAGTGATTTCTGAAGGATCATGTGACACTTATTCCTGTGATCAAAGCTGATGTTCAGCATCATTACTCCAGTCTTCAATTACACTTTACTATATATTCACATTTACATTGAGTTTGTTACATTATTAATTTATTTTGCAATACAAATTGTGAAGTATTATTCCAGTGTCCATCATCAGTGTGCTCATTGCTCTCCGCTGTGTGGGTTATGGGTTATGATTATGATTATGATCACCTTCTCCTGCAGAAGCTGCATGGACTTCTCGAAGGTCTTGGGCGCCGCCCTCTGGTGGTTACAGAGGATCGCCACGGCTCGGTTCGCTCGGTTATACGACAGGATCTTCTCCTCCACCGTCATGTCCTCTGAAACACCAGCGATATGAACATCAACTCTCTGGTTATGAATATGTGAACGATGCGAATCCTTCTCAGTGTTCACTCACAGCACAGATGTCTTGTGTTATGAACTTGTGTGAATATCTAAAAGATGTAAATCCTTCTTAAAGTTCAGTCACAGCAAATGTCCTCTTAGTTGGGGATATTAAATGTAATATTTATGTAATATCTCCTGCATTATATGAGAACTGAACTGAGCTGGACGATGACATCACGGTTAAACTCGAAAAATTAGAATATGGTGCAAAAGTTCATTTATTTCAGTAATTCAACTTAAAAGGTGAAACTAATATATTATATAGACTCATTACATGCAAAGTGAGATATTTCAAGCCTTTATTTGTTATAATTGTGATGATTATGGCTCACAGCTTATGAAAACCCCAAAGTCAAAATTAGAATATTGTGAAAAGCTTTTCATAAGCTGTACGCCATAATCATCACAATTATAACAAATAAAGGCTTGAAATATCTCACTTTGCATGTAATGAGTCTATATAAAATATTAGTTTCACCTTTTAAGTTGAATTACTGAAATAAATGAACTTTTGCACCATATTCTAATTTTTCGAGTTTCACCTGTATATGTATATATATTAACTAAATTAATAACTTTTTTACAGCAGAAATGAAGCATCACTGAGCTTCCTTAAGCTGGACTGAGACGCTATTCTCTTCTGGAAATTTTAACACGTGTTATAGTTACACAACTTGTATCAGATATGTGACTGTAGTCGGTGTGTATTTGCCAGTGTTTGGATGAACACGACACGTATTGTTAACTTGCGTTTATGTAGTCCAGTGATGTTTAATAAAGAGTTTGTTTGAACATTTGGATGTTTTAGACATCATGAATCTACATAGACGAGCTCTAATTGAGAATATACAGCGGTTTAGAAGTTGATGTTTCATTGAATGTTTTATTTGAAGTCACCTGATAATCTTGCTTAACCTTTTTAAAGTTATCTTTTACGTTATTAATTTTTTGCTGAGCTTAACAAACGGATAATACTATTATCTGATCATATCTTTCTCATGGTTATTTCTGCTGATTCAAATATGCAGAATAAATACACAGATACAGCAAACAGAGAAAACTGAGAGTCTGACAGAAATAAATAGTTTGTTATAATAAATTGGTTATTAATAACAAGTGAAAGCAGCTTTTGAAAAATACATTGAAAAAGAGAAGCATGATGTGATTGGCTGCCAAAAAACACCCATTAATCTTTAAGTTTTTATGAATTAAGATTTTATTTATTTATTGTAATGTATTGTTTTATTTATTTTAGAGCTTTTTATGGGATACCATATAAAATATACCTATAATTATTTTCATAAACACAAATTTCCCTCCAGCCAGTGCAGTAACACACATTGTGTGTTAAAAATCTACACAACTTGTGTCAAAATACCATTAACATATGCTGTGTGTTGTTTTTTAACACATCTCTTTTTAGACTCTGTGTCATTATTATCCTGTTATCTCAGTAAAGCTGCTCTGACACACTCTGTGCTGTATAAATGCCTGTGACACACAGACGTCTGATCTCGGACCTGTGGTGAGCTTGTTGAGCTGATCCTGCAGTGTGGTCGAGGCGTTGAAGGTTCGAAACACTTTGGCCGTCAGTCCCGGCATGCACTCGTTCAGGGCTTTGTTGAGGTTGACCGTCTGAAAACAACAGAACACCAGGTTATAAACTCGACAGACTGAATGCTGGGAGGATTTAGTGCTGGTTAGTGACATGTGATATCACATGACGCGGTAGTAAAGATCACATGACATGATGGCCAAAGAAAACATTTCAAATTTTCATTTAGTTTACCTTATAAACTATCAGCTAAAAAAAAAGAATTTTATATATATATATATACACACACTCACCGGCCACTTTATTAGGTACACCTGTCCAACTGCTCGTTAACACTTAATTTCTAAGCAGCCAATCACATGGCGGCAACTCAGTGCATTTAGGCATGTAGACATGGTCAAGACAATCTCCTGCAGTTCAAACCGAGCATCAGTATGGGGAAGAAAGTTGATTTGAGTGACTTTGAACGTGGCATGATTGTTGGTGCCAGAAGGGCTGGTCTGAGTATTTCAGAAACTGCTAATCTACTGGGATTTTCACGCACAACCATCTCTAGGGTTTACAGAGAATGGTCCGAAAAAGAAAAAACATCCAGTGAGCGGCAGTTCTGTGGGCGGAAATGCCTTGTTGATGCCAGAGGTCAGAGGAGAATGGCCAGACTGGTTCGAGCTGATAGAAGGGCAACAGTGACTGAAATAACCACTCGTTACAACCGAGGTATGCAGCAAAGCATTTGTGAAGCCACAACACACACAACCTTGAGGCGGATGGGCTACAACAGCAGAAGACTCCACCGGGTACCACTCATCTCCACTACAAATAGGAAAAAGAGGCTACAATTTGCAAGAGCTCACCAAAATTGAACAGTTGAAGACTGGAAAAATGTTGCCTTGTCTGATGAGTCTCGATTTCTGTTGAGACATTCAGATATTAGAGTCAGAATTTGGCGTAAACAGAATGAGAACATGGAACCATCATGCCTTGTTACCACTGTGCAGGCTGGTGGTGGTGGTGTAATGGTGTGGGGGATGTTTTCCTGGCACACTTTAGGCCCCTTAGTGCCAATTGGGCATCGTTTAAATGCCACGGCCTACCTGAGCATTGTTTCTGACCATGTCCATCCCTTTATGGCCACCATGTACCCATCCTCTGATGGCTACTTCCACCATGTCACAAAGCTCTAATCATTTCAAATTGGTTTCTTGAACATGACAATGAGTTCACTGTACTAAAATGGCCTCCACAGTCACCAGATCTCAATCCAATAGAGCATCTTTGGGATGTGGTGGAACGGGAGATTCGCATCATGGATGTGCAGCCGACAAATCTGCGGCAACTGTGTGATGCCATCATGTCAATATGGACCAAACTCCCTGAGGAATGCTTCCAGCACCTTGTTGAATCTATGCCACGAAGAATTGAGGCAGTTCTGAAGGCAAAAGGGGGTCCAACCCGTTACTAGCATGGGGTACCTAATAAAGTGGCCGGTGAGTGTATATATATATATATATACACACACACACACACTTGAAAAAGACAAAACTCAAATTTAAAGTCCCCCTGTGGTGTAAATCCAGCGTTTAATGTTGTTTATGTGTCTATGTGGTGTTTTTAATACGCTTTAAGACACACCATGTGTAAGTTCATAAGTCGACAGCATTGCTGAGTATTTCCTCCTTAAAACTGCAGTGAACCAAAGACAGTCTCAAAAACACGGTGTGAAATCGCTGGTGTTTCTGACGTCACAAACGACCTTGTAACCAATCAGATCAACGTGTGATCGTCAACCAGTGGATCTCTGAGCTGAGGGAGTGAGTGGAGGCGGGGCTCATTTGCATATTCATAGAACCGCGCATACTAAATGAGTCAAGGGTGTCGAGTTACATTCAAGATATTGTAAGACATGAAGAAGGAAAAAAACGTTTCAATATGTCATTCTGGTGATGAAAGATGAGTTTAAAGGATAAAGTGATCGACAGCAGGAACTTTCACTGTTTAACTGCATGATTCAACAATCTCCACTTACTGTAATTCGGTCGAATAAATCATCTTCTGGATCCTTGTGCTTTATGAACAGCTTCAGGTTCTTGAAAACCTGTGAGTGAAAGATCAGAATAAAACAGTCAATCATGACAATCACACAGAGAGCAGCTTCTATCATCTCTCACACTGACTGTGTATCAATAATACTTATTCATTCATCTCAATTCCTAGAGATTCCTTGAACAACAAAAAAAAGAAAAAGACAAAAGAAAACAGAATTGTTTGACAAGTACATCAACAAATCAGTCATGATGCAGGAAAAAAAGCACAATAAAAAGAAAAAAATAGTTTAAAATTTTTTTGGGAGAAAAAATGTGTTTAACCATATTGTAAAGATTGTAAATGCAATAAAGGGGAAAAAAGAAAAAAATATTATATATATACTAAACATTTTCCTGTCTAAAGTGAGCGAGGGTTCAAGAGTGTGTGATACACCAGTGTGTGTGTGACCTGGTTAAAGAGTGTGTGTGATACACCAGTGTGTGTGTGACCTGTTTCTCCACCGGCACTTTGTTGTAGTAGCGGATGGAGTCTTTCCCCAGGAAGTCGAACTCCACGACGTGTTCGAGTCCGTCGAGGCGCCGGTGAAGCGAGATGTGCTCCACACGCAGAGAACAGCAGCCCACCGTATCAGCTGACTCATCGTCCTTCTCGTTCCCCGCGCGCAGGGCCAGCTGAGAACACACACACACACACACACACGCGCGATCGGTGTGAATCCGACATGCGCTTCACTGCACAGCCTCGCTGGATCTGATGGGCTCTGGGTTCGTACACACACTGTAAAATGCACTCATTTTTGGTTTTCAAGGACTTCGATCAGAGATCTCACTTATTAAACAATAACTTTATTATCTTTCAGATTCTAAAATAGGTAAATAGATAAACAAAAATAAAACAAAATGGTAGAAATAAAGTGCAGGAGACGCAATGACTAGTAACTTTCACCATTGAACGGATGCTATGACAAAGATATCGTTTTCCTTATTAAATATGATTTTTTCTGCTGTGAATATATGATTGACCTGAAGAATAAAAGCTGTATCATATACAGGGATATTTATATGAGCAATATCACACTCATAGCCATGAGAAATTCCTCTATATCAGACGAGCTGCAATGTTGATTTTGTGTGAAAAAATTGTTTTATCAATAAAATGACACTAATTTCACATTTATTGTCTTTCAATAATTCAAGTGCTTTTCATAAATATGACAGTTTTCAAGGGTTTTCCAGGACTTAAATTTCAAAAAGTAATATTCAAGCACCTTGTACGAACCCTGTGGGTGGAGCTTAACCTGAGTTAGGGTGTGGCTGGACCTTTAAGCTCTACCCATCATGGCCAGAGAGGCGGGGCTGGATGTCAAGCTCCGCCCCCTTGGCCCTGTATCAGTGTGATGAGCTCACCTTATCGATGAAGTAGATGGCGACACCTCTCTGTCTGCTCTTCATCTCTCGGGACGTCCAGTCGCGCTTGTACTGCTTTCTGATGGTGTTCACACACACCTTCAGCTGACGCGCCGTCTCGTACTTCTGCCAGTCCTTCTCGCCCTGAGCACAGACCATCATCATCATCATCATCACCATCATCATCATCATCATCATCATCATCATCATCATGGGAGCTACGTCTACATCAATCCGGATACATTTGAAAACGGCGTTTTTGTTTAAAACTAGATCTAGAGTGATCTGTTATTATCAGAGGAAACTGTCTGAGTTATGTATTTCAGAAATGTACATATACAAAATCACAGTTAGCGAAAAATGTAGTAATTTCATGCAGAAACTATGAGCTCATTGAAGTAATGAATACTTGTTTGTTAACAGATGATTATGACATTTAGAAAATATAGCGTTTTCAAAAAGCTTTGTTTTCATTAATAAAAACACCGTCTCAGTGTCGATGGAAAGACAAAACGGAGAGAAAAGATGCGTTTTCAAACTCAAACGTATCAGTGTGGACAAGGCCTCACACACACACACTTGAAGCTCCGCCCCCTGTGCCGGGAGCAGCAGCTCATTTGCATTTAAAGGGAAAGACACAAAAACAGTGTGTTTTTGCTCACCCTCAAAAAAAGTGACAATTTTAACATGCTATATAAAATATCTGTGGGGTATTTTGAGCTAAAACTTCACACACACTCTGGGGACATCAGAGACTTATTTCACATCTGGTGAAAAGGGCATTTTACCACCGCTTTAATAACTGATATGGTTATGATAAGTGTTCGCTCACTGGCTGCAGTTTTCTAGGGTTTTCACTCACTCACACACACACACACCTTGAGTTTGGAGCTGGGGTTCAGCATGATGTATTTAGGTCGCCCGTGGATGTTCTCGAGCCACGACGCCAACCATGTGACCGTGTTGTCGTGCTGGACGCGCTTCCACCGGTGTCCTGCAGGGGCTTCTGGGATCTTAGAGTCTCTGAGGGAGAGAAATATAAAAGTGATGCGATACTCGACGTGCACCGTGATTACATTTAATCATTAATTCATTCATAAGTGTCTGAGAAATCTTTTTTTTTTTTTTTTTTTTCAGTTTAATTTTAAGTCAAGTCAAGTCAAATATATTTATATAGCGCTTTTCACAATACAGATTGTATCAAAGCTGCTTCACAGTATCAATCAAATAATGTTAAGCATTAAAAGAACATGTATAAACAGAGTCCATAATTTAATAAATAATTAATTTTAAAATTAAATAACTTATTATTTGACAATAAGTCCCAGTGAAACCAATTTTGAGCTTGGATTTTATGCTTTATGATTTAATACAACTTTATAATAAAAAGTGGTCAAGTGAATTCATAAAACTAACAATTTAATAATTCATTCATTTTAATAATAATAATAATAATAATAATAGGCCCACTGAAATCTTTTATTTTTCCCAAAGTTTTCTGGATTCTGTGCTTTACAATTGAATACAAATTTACAAAACAAAAATCCTACTTGAAACTTTTAATAATTCATTAATTTTAAGAATAATAAGTCCCTGTAAAATCTGTTTTCTTTCCCCAAAATTCTTTAAAGTCAGTTTGAAAATGTCGGCATTCTGTGCTTTATGATTAAATTTATCATCAAAATAAGACGCTGTTTAATTATGAAATACATAATTAATTTTCAAACTCCTTTACAAACAAAACCGTGCTTTAATTTTGTCAAGCGAAGTGCTGCCTATATACAGTCGGCTCATTTATTGCAATTTATTGCGATTTTTTAAACACTAGTCCATCGGGAAAAGTTACATCACACACTTATACAGACTGTACATGATATATAAGATGAGTCATATTTACAAAAACTATTCATCACATCGATCTTTCTGAGTTTATTTCAGAAGCATCATACACTACATTCTCTTTAATAAATGATTCAATACATTTATTAAAGGCACTTGTGGCCGCCTAGTGGCCAAACAATGTCACCGATAAATGCGTTATTTCAAGCGCCAGGTTTCTATGAAAAGCTGATCTACTCTATTGTGATCGCTATCGGAGACATCAGTGTATATATTTGAACTTTAAACTTTTATCCAAGTACTTCTATGATAGTTTGAACTATTGCATCACAGAAATAATGATACTAAGAGGTTGAAAACACTGTTTGTGAAGCGGTTTCATGAGTAACGTTCATGACTAGCGCCAACACAGATTTGAAAGTTGCGATATGATTTTGTCAAAGGTTTATAGACTTGAATTGGAAGATCGTGTGTGTGTTTGAATGGAGATTACAGTATCGTGCAGCTCTACCGTCTCATCTCTCACTCAGTACGAGCAGCTCGAGGGCGTTCAGTCTCACGGGAGATCACGTCACTAAACACTCCTAGAGAACGACACATTTCATCCTCTGCTGGAACTAAAGTGGCAAACTTCGGTCAACCTCGTCTATGTCTAACCTCCTCACAACTCAATGTTCTAGTGACGGGTCACATCTACATTTTTCAATCGGCCCAAGTGAAATTCTGCAAATTGATCAAATTAAATGTGCTGGATTTCACTTGGGCCAATTGAAAAATGTAGATGTGACCAGTCACTAGAACATTTTGAGTTGTGGGAGGTTAGACATTTTTTACAGTGCAAGGACAAAAATAAAGCAATTTAATTTGAATTAATATCGATTCTGGAATAAAAAAATAAATAATAAGAACCGGGATAGCTGGGTGAATGGATCGTTCTCCCAGCCCTAATGTTTACTGTATCTGTCCGTACACAAATCAGACATTAGATGAGTGTATGGTCTCACTGGCTGCAGTTGATGGCCACGTGCTCCGGCTGGATGCGCTTCTTCAGTTTGCCCATCTTCGGGTGTTCTCCGCGCCCGCGGAACAGACCCGGCGGCTCCAGCTTGAAGTTCCCGATCTTCTCCCGGTGTCCGTCCAGCACACAGAAGCCGTACTCCTCCACCAGACGGCTGGACTCCTCCTTCAGGACCTGATGCACACACACATTAGAGGCACGCTAGTCACGTCACCTTCATTTATACAGCGCTTTAACTATATAGAGTTTCACAGCAGCTTTACAGTGATAACAGGAGATTACAGTAACAGAGAGTGTTTAGGCTTTACAGCAGCTCTAGAATAAAGTTATTGTCCAGATAAAGTTAGTTTTGATTGATTCACTTCCATTGTAAAGATCATTAGTCATTAACTTAGGGGCCAGAAAACCCTTAATGTGTTCCTCATTTACACGACAACAGTACGGTAAATACAACAGTAAATTGTGTCTCCAACTTAATGTCTCTTTTTGCTAAACTCAGTGCAATTTTTATTGATTACTCTTTTTGTAATAACTCAGTGCAAAAATGTGTATATATATGCTCTATATGCTCTTACCCTGTATATAGCTAGCTCTTAGTTATAGGAAGTATATTTATTTTTATTGTGTAGGAATAAGGTTTTAGCTTTGTTATACTGGCAGCCAAGTAATCGACATTTCGTTGTCAAATTTCACTGTGTGTTTTTTGTACAATGACAATAAAGGAAGTCTAAGTCTAAGTCTAAGTCTAAGTCTAAACAGTAGTCTTTATTTACAAATACACTACAAAAAAAAAAAATATTTTTATCTTGTTTCCAGTCCAAATATTAAAAAATTTCTTAAATCAAGATGCATTTACTGAAGTAGTAAAATGCCATAAGATATTATGTCTTGTTTTGTGGGGAAATAAATAAATAAATTGAGTTTTTCCTTAAAACAAGCTAAATTATCTGCCAATGGAGTCAGAAAAATAATCTTGTTTCCGTTTGAATTAAAGGTGCAGTGTGTAATATTTAGGAGGATCTGTTGACAGAAATGCAATATCATAAACATAATGTGTTCAGTGGTGTATAAAGAGCTCACATGATGAAGCGTTATGTGTTTATTAGCTTAGCATGAGGCGTTTCTCTCTACACACACCGCGGGTGCCGACATATTTCTACGGTGGCCCTGAGCGGACACACGCGTTCCGTCACTATGTTGTTCTTCATGATAAGAAGCGAAACTCAAGTCAGCGAATAAAACACTGACACAATGATGAACAAGTCACAATAATATTCGCAATAACATCGTTTTACTGAATAATTAAGTAAACAATTTCTAAATTTATCTTTGTAAAGAAACCTTATTGTTAACTGGCTACTCTCTGCTGTCTCAGACGACGACATCACTTCCTGTCGGCCACCATAACTTTTGTTGGGTGCGATTCACAACCTCACCACTAGACGCCGCTAAAACTCACACACTGCACCTTTAAGATTATTTTTCTGACCCCATTGGCAGATAATTTTGCTTGTTTTAAGCAAAAACTCACTAAATTTTAATTAATTCCCACGGAAAACAAGACGTAATATCTTATGGCATTTTACTCATCTAGTAAATGCATCTTGATTTAAGAATTTTTAGATATTTGGACTGGAAACAAGACAAAAATACTGAGTTAGAAGAGCATGTTTGCAGTGTAGAGTTGCTGTCCCACACACTGTTGAATACGTTTGTCACACACACCTGCTTCTCCTCCTTCGTCATGTTCTTGCGCTCCTCTGCCTTCTCCACGAAGTACTTGTGCATGTGGCTGAAGTCACACTTGGAGAGCGTCTTGATCCGCTTCCTCTCGTCGCTAGTCATTTCCTAAAGACAGTTCAATTCAAGAGGAGGTTTAAGAGAGTTAAAGGGATAGTTCACACATTTAACAAGTGAACAACAGAAGGTCGTCTCCTAAAATAAAGAAGAGATTCTGAGATGCTGAAACGAGTCGTCAGTAATTCCAGTCCCACTTCCTGTAACAATGTAACTAATTAGCATAATGCCAGCCTCTGCTGTTGATTGGCTGAGCAGCGTCTCTTAGCCCCGCCCTCAAACACTGTAGTGTATCTGAGACTGGAAGAGTTCGGCTCGTGTTGTTCGTGTCGAGAAGACGCTGTTTTCTGAGATCGAGACGGTAAACCCACGCCATCGTTACTGTTCGTATCACTGTGATCAAGAGCTGAGAGTCAGATATGATAATGAGCGTTTGCTCTCTGACCAATCACAGCAGAGCAGCTCTCAGAGAGGCGGGGCTTAGAGACTGAATCTTCACAGAAGCGTTTCAGACACTGAGAGGAAAGAGCTGAAGCTGCAGTGGAGATTATGAGGACATTACAGTGTTTCTGAGCTTGGGTGAATGTGAATCTGTTGTAGGAGACTCAGAAACAACATTAGGAGCCGTTAAAACAGCAGAACAGGGCACTTTTTAAGTGTTTACGCGACTATTGTTGGTTTCTGACCTCCCGCCAGTCAGTGAAGAAGTTGTTCTGAAACGCCTCTTTGCTGGTGTACTCGTGGTCCAGCATCTTGGCGTAGAAAGTGGCGATTTCCTCCGTCGCTGGACTCAGTTTCAGCAGCTGCCCTAAAAACACACACAACGTCACTTTATCATCACATTAACACTTATTTTGCTGTTTATTACTGTGAAGCTGCTTTGAAACAATCTGGACTGTATAAAGCGCTGTAGAAATAAAGCTGATTGATCACATGACATGTTTACCATCGTAATAAAAGGGCACGTTATCGGGCAGCGGATCATATTCTGGAGCGAAATACGGTCCCCTGTGCTCGAGACGGCTCCACTTCTGACTGTCCGAGGGCTTGCTCTCTTCCCACCTGGACATCAATCACAGGTTATTCATCACACACACACACACACACGCTCTCACACACACACACACACGCTCTCACACACACTCTCACACACACACACACACACCCTCTCACACACCCTCTCACACACACTCTCACACACCCTCTCACACACCCTCTCACACACACTCTCACACACACTCTCACACACACTCTCACACACACTCTCACACACACTCTCACACACACTCTCACACACACTCTCACACACACTCTCACACACACTCTCACACACACTCTCACACACACTCTCACACACACTCTCACACACACTCTCACACACACTCTCACACACACTCTCACACACACTCTCACACACACTCTCACACACACTCTCACACACACTCTCACACACACTCTCACACACACTCTCACACACACTCTCACACACACTCTCACACACACGCTCTCACACACGCACACACACACACACGCGCACACATTAATACATTTTACGCATGTTTAATGTGTAAAAATGAACCTTTTAAGATTGATTAATTCATTGATAAATTATGGGAAGTGAATATATTTTTTAAAGAATTATTTAAAATTTAAAAATATTATATTGAAATCATAAAATATTATCAACATTAATGTTAAAATAATATAAAAACAACATTAAGATCATATTTAATAAACAGTCTCACACTGATTAATATTAATAAAGAAATGGAATACACAATTATACATAATCATGTGCTTAAACTGTACAAATAATTCAGATTAATAAATTATTGATTGATTTGCATGACTGATGTCCATGGGTTTTTTAAATAAATATAATATGAAATAATAAATTCTCATTTAATATTACATACAAATTATATTAAATAAAAATAATATTTAACAGTCTCGCACCAATATGAGCTCAAAGCAATACACAGTTCTACATAATTATGTGTCAAATTATCGATTATTATATAAAAAGATTAATTTATTAATAAAGATTAATTTATTTTCAAATATATAAATTATACAATTATATTAATATAATACAAAAATTATATTTGTAATCAAAATAATGATTTTATAATTGTATTAATATTTAGCAAAATGTCTCATTAAAGCTGCAATCCACCATTCTACATGATTATCTGTTTGGAGTGTAGCATGTCAACCAACTTTCATCTTACGCGCATGCGCAGATGTGATATCATCATCATCACTGGTGGAGATCTGAACTGACCTGAAGTCTGACAG